GGAATGCTGGCTTTTGTCAGGGTAATAATGAGTGCAACTTGCGTTTTCGGTATATTTTCCATCCACAGAATAATATCGTCAGCCATTATCGAAGCGCAGACGCAAATTACGCGCGTTGTTTATAAACAGAAAGTAGTTCCAGGAAATAGACCCGTTTACCAAATATGGTAAACGGGGCCCGGGCGTGATATGGAAAATTATTGCACGGCTCGCGCATCAGGATTCCCATAGCGTTACGAGGCCGGGCAATACGAGGTATATGATAAGATTGTATATTCTACATTGAAAGTAACAACCTGGATTGAATAATTGGTCAAATTATTCATTACACTAAATTTGTTCTTTAAAAAGCTCATCTCCAATGGAAGCACATATAAAAAAAAAATATGCATTGGCTGTGTACACATTCATTGAAATATAAATTTTTTTTTAATGTGTTTGTATACTCGGACAATTACGGTAATAAATCCTGTTACTGGGATATAGATTATGATTTCATGTACATTGATTTATGTGTAGTTACGCTGAATCCTGTCTCATTTTCATCAAGATTGTCGATTTGATATCGTACCTGATTTCTGTGTTAATTTGGTGTCCCATTGACGGTTCAAGACCACCCATGTGTGTATGTACGCACATAATTAAATATCGATCTAATGGGTATCCCGCTCATCCGCTTTGGATCCTACACAGATTATTACAATTGGCTTACGCTGGATTTATTTAAAAATGCTGGTTGTTATTTCTAATAATCAATATATTGTCGAATAAAAAGAAACATACATTTATTAAAATATTGGCTAATATTTAGTTTTGAAAATTAATCAATTATCTCTGAAAATTTTTTTTATATTCTTTTCAATGAAAGCCAATTATGCTGTCATGAAATCACAGTATAAATAATACATGTACATTATTCATGTAAGCACATATAAAACATTCAAAAATAATTATAAGTTCGAAAAATACCTGGATGGTATAAAAAACAAAAAAACAAAAACAGAGTAGCATTAACCAAATCCCGTATCTCAGCCCACTTCTTGCTAATTGAAACAGGCTGTCACGGGAGAATAAATAAAATTGACAGGGTATAAACAAGTGTGACTCTAATGATGTGGGTGATGAAAAACATTACATTTTTCACTGTAAACATAACAGTTTTTTGAAACACAGGGAAAAATTCCTATATGCACTATTTATATACTCACCTGATTATCAAATCTTGCCAAATGAAGTATTGTTTATCAAGAATTTCTCAAGTGTAGACAAAATATTTTAGCTAATTTTGTATTTCAGATTCTAAAATTATTTTAGATTAGTTGTTTTAGTTGTATTCTAAATCATTTTCTCTATGTTTTTCGTACAGAGTTGATGGATTAAAATAATATATATTCATCTCAAAGCTCTATATCATTTCTGGTGCGATTATTAATATGGAGACAGATCACGAGCCGTATGTTTGGACTCTCTCTGAAAAGTTGGCAGAAACAGCCAAGCGAGAACTCGGAGAAACGCCTGATGTACGAACTAAAGCATTGGCTGAAATTAGAAAGAGATTGCATGATAGACCTGATCTACTCTGCCCGAAAGACAATCTATTCCTTCTAGCTTTTCTCCGGGCACGGAAATTTGAAGTTGACCGAGCTTTCACGCTGCTGGTGAATTGGTGCACCATGCGGACTAACCGGAAGGATTTATATGGGGATTTTACTGCAGCTAGCATTAGGGATGCAATGGAAACTGGTTTCATGGCTACACTTTCGTTTAAAGATAACCTAGGACGAAGTATCAGTATTTACAGAGCTGGTAGGTCTATCGGTATCTAACACTTCTGTTGAATTAATTTGCATATGTTAATTAGTTAACTTCCATACTAATTAACATGTTTTCACCATGTGTTTTGAATTTTGAAATATGCTGAGATCTTCTACTAATTGAAAAGGATTTTATACAGCTTATCTAAAATACATTGTTTATGCCAAATTTTAACGTGGCAAGAATTTTTTTTTTTTTAATAATTGTATATATGTGTTTCTTCTTGTTAGGAACCTGGGATGTGGAAAAGTTCACTCTTTATGACTTAATTAAAGTACCGCTGATGCTCATGGACCTGAGAATTCGTGATGAGGAAGTTCAAATAAACGGTGTTGTTACTATCATCGATATGGAAGGGATTGGTATGCATCACATGACTCATATCGGACCAAGAATGGCAAGAAAAATAGCTCCTATCATTAACCAGGTATTACTAAATACCGGTATTTATAATAGTTCTTTGAAAAATGTTGTGTACTACATAGAAATGCATACAAATATCACTTATGATATTGTTTTAAATGTGAAATTTTCATCTCTTTTTGGGAAGAAAAATAGAATCTTTCCACTAACTAGTCTCAGGTAAGCCCTTGAGGATGCAGAGTTAGTTTAGTGTGTGATGAATGGTAGGTGTGATTTTAGTACTGTAAATGCAATAATTATTTACTGGGTTTTAATTTTACTATTTTCTCTGACAAGTTAGCCAAATTAAATTCACATGAACATGTGCACAAAAAATAGAACTCATTGTTTTTTTTTCCAAATTTAAAATCCAAATAATGAAAGTAAATGCCAGTAAAAATAAATGCTTTTACAGTTTACAGTACTAAGTAAACTGACCCATAATTAAGGAAGGAGGGATTTAGTCATATTATTAATATTTAAATCATGAATTTGACGAGTAAAATTTAAGTAAATGAAATTGTCAGTTTTAATTATGTGTTTGTTATATTTGTATCTTTTGAAATATACAAGTATGAAAAACACAAAGAATGCAAAATTAAAATAAAAAAGGAACATTTAACTGAAGTGCATGATGACCGGAAAAATGGAAATAATTTGTTGAGTCGCAATTATTAATACCAGAATTGTAAATTTTTCAGAATGTCACAAAACTATGTATCATTCATCATTTCCCTGGTGTAATTTTTTTTTAAAAAATCAGCAGGTTACAGCAACACAAACAACTTTTAAGGAGGTTCTTGCTGAATTAGGATTATATAGGGCATCTTTTTTGTGCTTTTAATAGCTCGGCTGTCGACTTTGTCGAGCGGAGCTTATCATATGAGTGATTGTCCGTCGTTTTTTGCCGTCGTCCGTGTCAATGTAATTTAAGGATGCTGGAGTCGAATTGAAATATACTGTAGACTTCTTCTTAAAAACCACAAACTGTATACCTGTGAAACTTTCTAGGAAGGTACCTTGGGTGGTTTTCT